AATCACTCAATGGCTCATGCTCTTCTAGGAGCAATTTTGGAACAACTTTCTCAAGAATCTTTTGTGAGCTTCCTCAAATGTGGTCAGTATGAAAAACACATTTTAAAGAATTTGTTAGTATTTAAAAAAAAATTTAAGAGCAAGCTGATATAGATTTCTTAGAGAAACAGGTGATCCAGGCTTGGACATGAACTGCACAGAACCTGGGACAATCTTAGGCTAGAAAGCAAAAAATCTACAAAAGACTATTGGGGTCTGGTAAAAAAAGACATAGGAGCCAATTCAAAGGATCTCCCATTGACTGAAGATGGGACAATTTGAGCATCAACAAGAATAATGACTGGGATGGATTAAAACAAATTAAATATATAAAAATCCACAAGTTCAGAATGTTACTTAAAACTGGTCAGCTTTGGCGTTTCTTATGGCATCAACTCATTCTTCTGAAAATTGGTAAATGGGGAAATTTATCATGTTTTTCCTGTGCTAGCTGTATTTCAAGTTAACCAAAGAGTTGAAGGGAGAAAGTTCTTTTCCATAGACAATTTCTAACTAACAAGTGCAGAAGAAATGACAAAATTATAAAACCACAGTTTTGTAACCTCTAATGAAATAATGGATTGAGGTAACACTCATGAATGACTATTAAAACCATGGATCTTTTTAATGGATAAATCAGGCTGCTATTACTTGAATTTTTGGTAAATCTTAGCATCATTGAAAGTGAGACAACCAGTCACTATGTGTTTCCTGATGTGGTGGGATGCACATCATATCTCCTATGTGTGTACAGCGCCATCTATGAAGTACTCTTTGCCAAAAAAGTGAACCTGCATGTAATTAAACCTTTAGACTAACCATCACTTTTAATAACACCATAAGGTTGTAATCAGCCATGTGGGAAATTCTATAGGACAAGTGACCTGATTTCTTTTTTTTTTTTTAAAAGATTTGTATTGGGGGGAAGGGAACAGTGCTGGGGAATTGGGGGAAGGGGAACAGACAAATTGCTGTCGTTTTGTTCTTCAGTCTAGTTGTGGAGGACGTTGCTTCACTGGCCCAAGTTGGCACCATCATTGCGCGCTTCCCGGGGGAGGCACATCAGTCGCCGGCTTCTGGACGGCTGCTCACTGTGGCTGCTGGCTGCTCACGCTGGCTGCTGGCTACACACGGTAGTCCATGGCAACCCACTGCCACAGGGGCTGCAGCCTACGCCGTCGCCAGCGACTCACAGCAGCCCAGCTCCAGGTTGAGCTGTTGTTCAGCATCTTAGCTGTAGAGGGCAGTGTCACTGGCCCTCATATGTGGGATCCGAACCGGGGCCCTCTGGCGTCCCAAGCCAGCTCTTAACCATCGCGCCACTGGGCCGGCCCACCTGATTTCTTTAACAAATAAATAGCAATTTAAAAAATGAGTGGGGTGAACTTTTATATATTAAAAGGGGATTAGGAGATATATCAATCAAATTTAATATATGGGCATTGTTTCATCCTGATTTAAACAAATGAACTACAAAAAGTGATTTTTAGATAATGGAAGGAAAATGAACAAGAACTGGGTATTAGTTAATCTTAACAAATTATTGTCAATTTTGTTAGATGTGATCATGATATTGTGTTTTTAAAAAGTTCTTATTTGTTAGAAGTAGATATTAACATAGTTGCAGGTAAAATGATCCGATGTTTGGGATTTGCTTTAAAAACTCCAGAAAAATGAAAATGTGTGTCTGTGTGTGTGTGAGAAACACAAATGACAGCATGTTAGTAAATGTCGAAGCTGGGTGTTAGGAGCAGAGGGGTCATTATTTTAGTCTCCCCACTTTCGTATTTGAAAATGATCATGATTAAAATTAAAAGCTGAGTTTTGTTTTTAAAATTAGTATAAAATTTAGCAAACATGCAAAAGAGTCTGTGAACCACTTAAAGAAAAATATTGAAATATATTTCTGTGTATCCATAACCCAGTGCAAAACAGGAAGCATTACTATCTCTGCAAGTTCCCTTCAGTCCCTCCCTGAGCACCTCCCTTGTTCTCCCTCAGAAATAACCACTATTCTGAATTTTGTGTTATAATCTCACTTTTCTTTATAGTTTTTTTTTTACTGCTCATGTACATATTTTTACACAACTTGCTGTTTATATATTTTTTTGTTTTTGAACTTCATACAAATGGAATCATGCCTTATCTTGACTTGCTTCTTCAACATCAATTTTGAAATGATTCATGTTGATGCTTTCAGCTGTAGTTTACTCATTTCACTGCTGCAAAGTGTTCAATTGTATGCATATACTACAGCCTTTTTATCCATTCTACACTTGATAGACATTTGATTTATTTTTAGTGTGTTATAATTATTCCTGTACATCTCTCGTAGTGCACACATAGAAGAAATTCTTTGAGGTATATGCCTATAAGAAGAATTATTGTGTCATGGCATACATGCAAATGAAATTGGGTCATGTCTAACTGTTTCCAAAGAGGTGGTTGTACCAATTTACACTTCGCCCAGTAAGCAGTGTTTTCTACATTTCCCCCTTTGATACATCTTCACCCACTCTTAATATTTTCAAGGTCTTAATTTCTGCCAATCTGAGGATTGTGGAACAGTATCTTATTTTAATTTGCATTTCCTTTAATACTGAGTATGAGCATCTTTTCATATGTTATAGGGACACTTGTGCTTCCTCCTCTGTCAAATACACAGTCATTCTTTTGCTCATATTCTAACAAGTTGTTTTTCTTTTCCTTATTGATTTCAAGGAGTTCTTTGTATGTTCTGTATATTAACTTTTTGTAGTTCTACAGATTACAAATAACTATTTTGTGACTTGCTTTTTCACTTTCTTTATAGAGTCCTTTGATATATCAGTGTTCTGAATTTTAATATAGTCAAATTGATCAGTCTTGCACTCTTGGTCACCTCATAAAATAAACTTTTCCTACCTCAAGGCTATAAAGATATTTCCCTATATGGTCTTCTAACAGCTTTATAGTTATGTTTTTTACATCTAGATCTTTAATTCACTTGAACTTTTTTCTTCTCCTTTTTGAAGCAGGGCTCCAATTTCATTTTTTCCATATAAATAGTCAATTGACCCAAAATTATTTATTGAAAAGCTCATTCTTTCTCCACTGCTCTGTAATACCAACTCAGTCATAAATCAAGTGTCTACATATTGTGGGTGTGCTTCTGGTTCCTCTAAAACAGGCTGAATTTTCATCATCAGTCAGAAAAATATTAAAACAGTCTAAGTTTGGTAATCTCCCTTTTCACCTCATGCCTTGAACTTCTGAGATTGTTCTTAACTTGTTCCCTTCCTTCAGTCACTCCTCTAAACCATCATTTCTAGTCCTCCTAGGTTCTTAAAGCACAAGTTAGTTTCTGTCGGTTTTCTGCTCAAAAACATTAAAGGATCTGACAATGAAACAACATAAAGAACTATTTTAAGTTCCCCTAGCTAGACAGTTAACCATTCCAACCTTCAAATTAACATTAACCTCAACAGTGCCCAGGATGTAGTAGAAGCACAGTAAAAACTAGTGTCCATATAGGATTTCACATAGATTAATAGTTTGTTTGTTGGTTTATTTGTTTGTTTTAAAGAGAACATGATTTGCCACCTGGCATATCCAAAATGTTCTCATATGAACTTATTTTGTTTTGTCAAAATGTATAACCTAGAAATTTGTCTAAATCATATAAAGATTATAAAGGTTTTAGGTCACTATTTTCATGTTTGAAAGTATCTTACTAAACCTGTTTTAAAATGTAGTCATATAAAAATGTAACTATTTAACAAAATCATGCATTCCATTTGTTTGATTTACCTTTGTGCTGTTAAAGAAAACAGACTCTGAAAACCAAAATGACAAGACAAAGTAATCAAGGTCTTTTTAAATAACAAATGGCTTTTTCATTTCATTTTATTAGATGTGCAAGGTGGAGGTGCTTTCTTACTTATCCTATTTGTACATTTTGGTGTTATCTCTTTTTGAGCTGGAATATAAAAGTCTTCTGCAGGCAGGTTCAGGGACTAATTAACTCCATTAAATTACATCCAGTTATGGAGTGAACTGAACCACTGCTGTCTAAGGCTGTGACAATTAGGAGATGGAGAGAAGCAGAAAGAGAGAGATTGATTTTATATGTCACTGAAGCACACTGCAACAATATGCCAGCGTGACTTTCAAAATGGCCTTAAAATATTCCAAACTCAGGGAGTTTCCTTGCTCCTGAGTGGGAGTTGACAGACTGTCTGGCAGCATTAGAAAGAGGCAGAGAAAAGCTGATGTCTATATTGTGTCCTCTAATAACATTCTGGCTTTTAGCGACATCTCTCCTTTAGAAGGATCCCTCTATTTGTTCTGAGGTGTGTGTGTGTGTGTGTGTGTGTGTACACGCGCGCGCCCGCAAGCTTTGCCTCCCCTTGTGCAGAGGTCATAATTTCACCTTTCACATCTGGGAAAACCAAACCTAAGGACACTTATCTTCCCAAGGTCACCTAGAAAATCAGTGTGATGGCCTGGAGGGTGGGGGTGGGGAAAACCGAACCCAGGTGTCCCGACTCCAGCTTTGTGGCTGGGCACTAAATCATTTTCCTTCCCTTGAGGAAAAAAAAACCAAAAAAACAACAACAACAACAAAAAAACACTGGGCGGGGGAAGTGAGAGATTAATCAGATTTCCTCCTCTTTCCCTTTACCTCCCATCCCCCTTACGGAGATATAAACTCAGGAAAGCAAACGAGGCGTCCACTCTGCAGTTCTTAAGCTGGGTCCTTCAAATCCATCCCCACCCTCCCACCCCGACACAAAGCGATCCGGGCTCCCAGGGTTTCTGCGCGTCCAACCGCGAGCCTGGGAGGTGAGGAGTGGTTAAAACTCAGCCCTCACCTCCAGCCGGTCCCGGCTCCGCGGCGCCCAAGCCCCGCCCCCGCCCGCCCTTCCCCCACGGCCTCGGCACGCCTGCCCCTCTCCCCTCTCCCAATCCGGCGCACCCACCCCAGATGCCGCCTGGCACCGATCGCAGCCGCCGCCGCCGCCGCAGCACTTTCCACTTGTATTGATTACCTCCCAGCCCCGCTCAGCCTGCTCGTTAGAGCGGAGCGGCCAGCGCGCCAGTCCTTGGCAGCCCCGCAGCGGTCGGGCTCCGGGAGGCAACTCCTCGGGAGCGCCCTGTCCGGGGTGCCCTCTGCGCTCTGCAGTGTCTTTCTCTCTGCCTGGGAGGAGGAGGAGGAGGAGGAGGACGTCTTGTCCCGGCTGGGAGGTGGAGCAGCGGCAGCCGCCGCCGCCGCCGCCGGAAAGGGAGAGGCAGGAGAGATCGAGACTTGGAAACCCCAAAGTGCCCGCGACCCTGCGCCGCAGGCTTCCTTCCAGCTTCATGGGCAAAGTGTGGAAACAGCAGATGTACCCTCAGTACGCCACCTACTACTACCCCCAGTATCTTCAAGCCAAGGTAAAGGGGCGCCGGGGGCGAGCGCGGCTCAGGCCCGGGGAGGGGCGCGCGGCAGGCCCCCCGCTGCCCCCCGCGGAGTTGATGGAAGGTTGCTAACTATAGCGCTGGCCTGGGCAGAGCCGGGCGGCGCGCGGGGCGGCGGCTGCCGGGAGAGCGGAGTGCGGGGATCGGGTTACAGAAAGGCGCGGGGGGAGAGACTAGACAGGAAAGAGCCGCCAGCCCCTTCCTGGCCCGGGAGGTGGGGAGGGTCGCGGAGCCCCTCGCCGAGCGTTGGCTGCTCGGCCGCCGACGCCTGGGGCCCGCAGCAGGACCCACCGGCGGCGCGGCTTTTCGACCCCTTCTCCTGGGCCTCGCCCTGCGAGCAGTAACTCTCGTCCTCCCTCCGAGTGGCGCGGAGCCTCCCGTCCCCCGGGGACGCCCCTCAGCCTAGGCGCGCGCGATGTCTGGGGCTCGGGGCGGGGAGCGGGGGTGGGGTGGGGGGACGGGACATTTTACTCCCCGCCTCCGGTCCTCCGCGCCCGCCCCTTGCCTTGATCTTTGTGCGGTGTAGCACTTCACCTGGTTACTGATTTCTACTTTTACGCTGGTGTTTTGGGTAGAAAAGTGGCCAAAGTTCACTCAGCGTTCATTGATGTCCCTTTTAATCTTCTGGGTAGCTTTTGCGAAGGAGGGACAATGGGCAGATTTCAGTGCAGAGAAAGAAGTGACTTTGTATTGAGTTTAGAAAAAATACTACCATATATATTTACCACAGATCGAGTTCCAGTGGTGCTTTCTCAAAAGTGGCCTCGGAGTACTCATAGGTAACACTGCTGATGACATGTAACCGTACAAATTGCGACTGGCTTTCTAGGGACCCTGGGTACTTGATTATTGGGACTCTTATTTTTACAAGAACTTGATGCCTGCTGAACTCATTAAAAATTATATATTGGATCCACCAAGAGTGAGGGTTTCACTGCTTTGGGAGCTTATTCCAAGGTTTGGGAACGTGGAAGTTGGATGCACCAGCGTTCTTCGGCAATTAGCATCTCCTATCACGACTCCAGGTGCCCTTTCTAGATCACAAAAGAATCAAGTATGGATGCAGCGCCTTAACTTTCTTTGGGAGGTTGTAATCATGCCCTGCTTGCTGGCAGAGGACATTTCTGGCCTAGTGCAAAGAACCTCTGATTCAACCTTGATAAGCTTACAGTGTGTGTGGTCCATGTTAATGCACCTACAACATAGCTCCGTATTTGTCCATGTAAAAAGGACACTTGTCAGCATAGAGACCAGACATTTTCTAGCACGCATGGGCTTCCTTGTCACTCACCCCAATTATTATTTTACATTGGGTCGCCAGAAAGCTGCAGGATGGTAGCTGCAAGGAAACCCATTATTCATTTCTGTGTTGTCCCCATAAATTTGTTTTCAGGAACTGGAGGGATGTGCATTTTTTTTTTTGTGAGCTACATTGTAAATATAAGTTGTCCAAAGAATTTTGAGGCATAATCAATGCACTGCCTTTTAGATATCATATATGTTTAATGCACTTGTTTAAATTATGCAGCATTGGGTGGCTAAAGGACAGCCTATTCAACACTTAACTGTATGAATAATAAATACATACACTCAGGTGAAGAAGAAAAAAAGGCCATGTTTCTACAGGCATATTCACCTTAGTAATTTTTATGTTCCATTAGTAAGTTAGAAACCAAGTACGTAGCATTTAATATAGCTAATGCAACGCCATTTGGCTCTTTTTGCCCCGTAAATAATTGAAGAGAGAGACAAATAGCAAGAGCTTGCTCTAGTAATTAGGGTCGGATCCCAGAAAGCTTTAGGGCCCATTTTCTGAAAGTGTGCTTCCTGCATAAAGCATTTAATATTGATTTGTGTTACAGTAAATGACATTCTCAAAACATATCGTGCTGTTTCTCCTGTGAAATCTGCAATCCTATTATTCTGAATCTCTTTGTTTCCGGAGAAGGACACACATACTCACTTGACCTATATAACATGGTATTAAAGTTTGATAATTAAATCTAAATTCCCTATTGTAAAGTATCTTGATTATCTCAGTAAGCGGGATCTCCTAAAATGTAAAGTGACTAGGTGCAGATTTTAGATAAGCACAGTTTGGAATATGTAGCCCTTTTTTGTTTTTTTTTACTCTCCCTTACATATCTGCTGGTAATATGGTAGTGTGAGTAATTAAAAATAATAGAGTCTTCGTTTGATTTGTAGTTAGTTTAAAAGCAAGTGTTGCCTAATCTACCTAAAGAGTTAATAAACTCACTTAGAACCTGTTGTCTACAGTGATGTTCCTTGCCTGTGTGTGCGTGTGTTTTAACCTTCTCGAAGTATGGGATAGAAAACACTCTGTTTAAAGTACATTGATGTGTTTGCTAGTCAGAGTTGTTTTGAAACTTCTGTTTGGAAGCTGTATCAAAACTGAGGAATGACAGGTCGTTTACAAAGTGATGTTTGACTTAAATTTGTGATTAAGAGATGGGATGTGATTTTTTTTTAATTAAGGAAGAATAAACGAATGGGATTTCTTTTCATCAGAAGGAAGACATACCAATTAACATGGCGCTTGAAAAGAGTTTTGTTGCTGTACTTTTAAAAGTTAGCATGTGTCAAATTATTCTTGTGTTAATCATCTAATCAGAGTCTGTTTTGGAGAATTTATTTAGTAACTTTTCCCCATAAAAACATATTAGGTACTTCCACATTATTAGCAACAACAACAACAGCAAAATCTGCAGAGTTGTATTACAGTGTGTGACCATATTGGTATGTTTTCTGCTTTGACAGAAAGAGAAAACCATGAGAAAAAGGAATACAGCTATATTAACATAAATTTGAGGATGCTAGGGAAGGGCATGACATGGGTGGAAAGGAAGGAGATTGTGAAATTTTCATAATACCTTAGTGTAGAGCAACATAGATTTTAGGCAACCTGATTTTACATGCTTGTTGGGTTTTTTTGTATTTCTCTGTTCAGGATGGTCTTATCACAGCAGGTTCTTTTTATTACCTGACACATTCATTCTAATATATAGTTTGATATAGCTTCATACTCGTATATAGGAGCAGATATTGTTCTGAATTATATAAAATGACATGCAATATTATGAAAATTTACATTTGATATGCACTTTGAAGCTACACAGAAAAAATTCTGGTAATTCAATGTATTTTATTCTAAAAATTTGTATTATACATTTTCAAACAATGGCTGTATTAATTTCACTTTTTATAAAGGCAGCCCTTGAATCATGGTCTATTTCAAAGATACTACAACTTACCTTGTTGCTAACGTATATATGCAAATATTTATGGGTATTGAAATAATTATTCTATTTCTTTTGAAGAAAGGGAAGGACAAAATGTTTTTTACATCGATAGCTAATATTTTGTACCAACTAACAGCAATTTAATGCATTTGTGATCATTATTCATAGTTATCCAGATATGTTTGTATAAATTATATATCATATTGAAAGCCTGATTTTTAAGTTTTTATGTATACAACAGTATTATTTTCTATACTAAAGAAATGTTTGTTTCTAAAACAAAGTTTGTTTTGAAGCCATTTTTTTGTGTAAGTGTATGCTAAGAACATAGCTGAACCAAGCTTCAAAATCTGGAAAATAATGAGTATAATTTTAGATTCTATTAATAAAGGTTACTAGCACAAAACAGTTTTCCTGAATTGAAGTTTTGGGTGCATTAACATTTTGCTGAGTTCCTTAACTTTTACTTAGTTGTAGCTAAATGAATAGTGTGTTGATCTGTTTCTCCAGGAATTAGGAGTCATGATTTGATATGTAGACCCACTGAGCATTTTAAGGTGGATTGGAGGTACAGAGGCATGGTATTAAGACGGGGGTGCTTTGTGTCTTAAGAAGTAACTACATTTATGAGGTGAAAAAAGTTTGCTTAAATGTATCAATCAAGTAATGCCATATTTTACATGGTGAATGCGCCTTATTTCCTTAGGTGAGTGGGATATTGTAGCTATCTGGAAGTGATGCTGGAAGACTCAAGGTCATGGAGATGTTAAAATGAAGATGCATTGTAACTCAATATTGTAGCACCTTCACCTTAGAGATCTATTTCTTTTGAATTGCCCATAATACATAGTATTGTTTTTTATATTTTGGAAGCCAAATCTTAAGTTAGGGAAAAAGAACAGAGAAGTGAAGCAGGAAAGTATTCAATCATTTAGTATCAGTATAACTGGATATAGCTTACATGTTTGACAATCTTGGCTTTGAATTTAAATTCAAATCTTGGCAATTTCCATGTAATACACTTTTAAGAAAAAGGTTTTGTTTTTTGTTTTTTTTAAAGATTTTTATTGGGGAATTGGGGGGATGGGAACAGCGCTGGGGAATTGGGGAAGGGGAACAGACAAGCTGCTGTCCTTTTGTTCTTCAGTCTAGTTGTGGAGGATGTCCCTTCACTGGCCCAAGTTGGCACCATCCTTGTGTTCTTCCCGGGTGAGGCAGATCAGTCGCCGGCTTCTGGATGGCCGCTCACTGCGGCTGCTGGCCGCTCACGCTGGCTGCTGGCTACACACGGTAGCCCATGGCAACCCACTGCCACAGG